CACTGGCTGGCCCGGGCTGGCCCAGGACCTGGCGCTGGGCAGGCTGAGTCCCCAGCCCGGGTTGCCCGAGGATGTGCGGGGCAGGCTGCAGGCTCTGCTGGCCCCTGACACGGTCCGGGCGGCCGAGCTCCAGGCTGAGTGCGCCCGCGGCTTTGAGGGCATCGTGCAGCGCCTGTGGCCGCAGCTGGAGGTGCTGGTGGTGGGGACAGCACACGGTGCAGAGAAGCTCTACTGTGACGCCCTCCACCAGGCTGACTGCAAGGGGCTGCCGTTCTACTGCCCCTTCTACCAGGCGGCGGGAGGTGAGTGTCCCCTGCGCGGGGCTGTCCCTGCGGCCTGCCCTGGGTGCACGGGGGGGAGCCGCTGCCGTACGGCAGCACAAACCCCCTCTACCCCCGCAGATGTGGGTGCATCTCTGTGCCACATCCCTCCCTGGAGAGACCTGCCTGCTCTCCAAAACCGGCTCTGTCCTGGCACTAGCTGAGAAGATCCCCCTTGGAGGGGGGTGAGGCTGCATGGGCAGGGATGGGGGTGTGTGGGGGGCTCATGCTGATATATGCTGCCCTCTGCCCAGCCCTGCTTGGTGTGAACCTGTGGCCAGAGGAGCCAGTGCCCCGATTCCTCCTGTGCCCTGACTGGGCTTTCTGCGAGTTCCTGCCCTGCCCTGCCAAGGAGGAGCCGCGGACGGTGCTGCTGGGCGAGCTCTGGGAGGGACGCGAGTATGAACTGGTCCTGACGGCCCGGCCCGGAGAGTACAGGTGCCTCCTTCCCGCTGCGGTGGTCCAGGGGCGCCACCTGCCCCAGCCCCGTGTGCCCGGCACCCGGCCCCCCTCATGGTCCCTCTGCCCATGCAGGTGCCGTGCCGGGGAGGTGCTGAGGGTGTCTGGCTTCCACAAGCAGTGTCCCGTGGTGGAGTACGTGCGCAGGTGAGGACACCCTAGCCTCTGCCCCCTACCTCGGGGGGCTCTGTGCTGGGCAGGGTCCGAGTGGGATGGTGCCAGCAGCATCCCCGGCACGGGGCACCCACCCCAACCCCCACGCTGCAGGGAGAGCCAGGCGCTGAATGTGCGGGGCGAGAGCATCACCGAGGAGCGGTTCTGCCGGAGCCTGTGCCGTGCCGTGGGCATGTGGCCAGGCGCTCGCCTGGTTGACTACATCTGCGTGGAGAGCGCCCTGCTGGGTGAGTCCCCCTGTGAGCTGCCCGAGTCCCCCCAGAAGGGTGGCCAGCACTGCCTGGGGCTCTGCCAGCCCTCCTGTGCCCTGCTCAGTCCCGGGTCACCTGTGCCCGGCAGGGCTAGGGGCTGCAGGTGGCTTTAACGTGCTCGTGGTGCTGCTGCAGGCGCCTCTTCGGGGGCCAGCGCCCCCCACTACGAGGTGTTCGTGGAGCTGCGGGGCCTGCGGGACCTGTCAGAGGGGCAGCGCTACAAGGTGAGGGGGACGCGGGCTCTGCTCCGGGGCAGGTCCCCACAGGCAGGCTGGCAGGCAGGCCCTGCTGCCTGCACCCTGCCAGCCGGGCGGGCAAG